TCTCAAATTATTACATAATATAAGAATACTGAACTCTTGGATGATATCAGGTGAAAATTCCCAAATCACATGAGGCTGAAGTTGTTCCTTTTTAAAAAAGTATTTAATTTTTTAGAATACTATAAATGCTAATAAGTAATACTAGAGGCATCTTGGTATCTGCTACTCTACGTTGCCATCCTCTGCACTAACCATCATTTGTTTGACTGTGGTTTACTGAATAAGATGGATTTCTTTCAGTTCACATATTGCACAAACACATAAAGAATGCGTTATAAACAATATTTGCATTAGCATAACAAAGTAAGCCACAGCATACTTTAGCATAATACCCAAACCTAACCAACCTCCCCTCCCCACCAAAGGAAAAGAGAAGAAATTGTAGTGCCCTGCCCTCCACTTTAGCTCATATTGTGTGTATATTTTTGTCTGTCTCTCTGTGTGGTTGCAGTGAAGGGTATTTCACTTTAAAATTGATGGCTGGCCCTGGGGTGGGGCAAGACTTCCACCAATGGGGGAACTAACTAACCACAAGCTCTGCAGAGCTGTAGCATTTTAAATGATAAATTTGCTGCCATTTAAGATACTACAGCTGGGCTAGGAGTAAACTGACTCACTTCCACATGACTGATATAGATGAATAGGTCCTGAGCAGATTCTGACCTGTTGCGGAATGAGGAAGTTGTGCATTTAAACAAACTGCTATTATTTCAGGCTCCTTCTCCCATCTGTAAATGATCTACTTACTTTTGATTGTCAGGGTTACTGAATGAATGTCTTGTTCATTCTTAAAAGAGCTCACTACCACATTCCCCTCCAGATGTGTTAACTTGAACACTCTGTCAACCACTCTTTTCACTGATATCAGGATGACAAAGAAGACTGTTCTAGTAAGTCCCACCAACTGCTGAATTATTATTCATTGACAGGGTTGCTTGATCCCTCAACCTTCTTAGAGGAGCATTCAACTGGCTTTCCATTTGAAGGATGGAGCTTTCAGGTTCATAAACAAAGGAGAATAGAATTGCTGTTCTTCAAGGATCATATTTCTGTCTTATAAGTTAGTAAAAAGCATGTCTATGTTCTTCTGGAAAGAGTCAGATGAGATAAAAACCCCTTGACCCAGGAGAGTAAACATATTCTCTTGGTCACAACCAATTACATGACATTTATGATAGCAATGGCATTCTGTTTATCACAAATAATTCTGCATATCATGAGTAATAACCTAATTATTAATATGCATAGTTATTCTTAGATGAGAAAAAGGCACTTATAGGATGGGTTTTAATACACATTTTGAAATCTTACCTAAAATAAATCTTATGTAGGTTATCTTGGGCTCCTTAATTTACTTTAACTCACCAACTGTGAATGCTAACTAGAAGACAGCATTCTACAAGTTAATGGGTTCCCATCTCAAAATAAGCTACATAAAAGTTCTAGCTAAATAACGAAGACTAAATCTGAGTTTCCTAAATTCTTGGGTGTCTTTTTTTGCCAGTGGGAAGATATGCAAGCCATTGAAACAGCAGCACTGATACACCATCGATCTATGAACCCTTGCCCCATCTATGATGAATTCACTGGCATGGTTTTCCTATTTTTCATTGCTGTGTTGGGCAGAACCTCTGAAGCCTTTCAAATTGTCACAGGTCAAAATGCTGCTCGCCTCTGCTACGTGTCTAGTTCTGACCAGGGCATCAGCTGGAGTCATGTGACTGATCTCACCGAGGAAGTCATTGGCACGTCCATCCAAGGTATAGAGATGGAATAGTAGCTGAATATGAGAGAAAAGGTGAGGTAGGGGGATGCTGTCAAAGAACAACAAGAACAGCAAAGAGCCTTGTTGCATTCACATACTTATTGATCAGACTTTATGAACATTTTAGTTACCTCCATTTAGGCTTGCATCAAGGGAAAAGTTTCTGTCCCATTGGACAGTTGTGGATTAACCATAGCACAGCCAGGATAAGGGCATAATTGTTATGCTCATTTTGCATACTGTATAAGTAACTGTCACAGACTGTCCTTTCTATTTTTTCAAAGCCAAAAGAATGTTGGAAAGAAATTGGGTAAGGGGGCTTGAGAGTCTGTCCATCTCTATCTAATAGCAAGGCAATTCTCTGAAAATAGAACAGAATGGGACCACATTTGGTGGTGGTGGGGAGCCATTAAAAAAAAGATCAGGGGCCACAAAGATAAAAAAACTCCAGGAAGAATTCCAATAAGCCCATATAGGAGAGGCTGTTGTGCAATAGCTTGGTGTGTTGCCAGCTCCTCCATTGTAATCCCCCTCACTTCAGAAAACATGACCTAGAGTGGACTGTTATTAAGGGGCCAGGAAGAACTTCAAAAGTGGAGCTTTGAAGGTTTTCCTCATCTTGTTGTATATCACTGCTGTCTGACATTTGTGTTTGCAACTCTTCTTTTCCTCTCTGTATAAATGATATATCTGCCAGCTAAAATTATCACAGAATGCATATCTGAGGTGTGCAGCCTTTAGCCTCAGGGTCACATATTGCCCCCAAACGTTTTTGCAACTCACTAGAACCTATTTCTAACTATGCTACCAATGTTCAGTGATACTGAATTTGCCAATTTGAAGCAGAAAACAACATGCATATGAATACAAATTCTCTCGTGAGAGCTAAAATAACTTTAGCAACATTTGAGAAACCAGACAATCAATACATCCAAACCCTAACCCTTATCCACATGTGCAATGGAGTCCACACATTTTGCAAAATTGCCGATACAGCATGACATTATTTCGCTGCCTGCTGCAACTTTCAGATCCCACTCTGCAAAAAAAAGTTCTTAGACGCTGAAAGGTGGCTCACTTTGGTGTGATTTATCAGATGAACAAGGCTCTAGCCCACAAATACTTTGCCATAAACTGTCAATCCTTAAAATGTCACAGGACTCTTGATTGTATGTTTTTCCAACATAGCTCTTCCTTCCTTCTTTCCTTCCAGATTGGGCTACTTTTGCACTTGGTCCGGGGCATGGCATTCAACTGAAGTCAGGCCGTCTGCTGTTGCCTGCCTATATGTATTATATTGACTGCAAAACATGCTTTGGGAAACTCTGCAAAACAACCCCACATGCATTTGCCTTCTACAGTGATGACCATGGGCACAGCTGGTGCTTTGGTGAGTTCATCCCCAATCTGCAGACCATCGAGTGCCAGATGGTGTCAGTGGATGAGGAGGATGGAAGCCATGTGCTGTTCTGCAATGCTAGGAGTCCTCTGGGCTTCCGGGTTCAGGCACTCAGCGCAGATGATGGGGCAATATTCCACTCAGGGCAGCTGGTGCCACGACTTGTGGAGCCTCCTCATGGTTGCCATGGAAGTATCATTGGATTTCCGGCTCCACTTTACTCTATGTACCATGGCATCCAAGGGTCCCAGAGAAAAGCATGTCCTGTTAAAGAGCAGGGCTTCCTATTGGAGTCTGGAATGCGTGAGAGGCCCCTGGGTTGTCCAGCACAACTTACTACTTCTCTCTGCAACCAATATTTATGCCACCAACACCTGGAAAGGTTTATATCAACTGGAACTTCTAGTGCCTACCTCAGCAGTGTTCTTAGTCCCACCTCCTGGAATATGGCATGTACTAATCAAGATCACAACAATGCTGGAACTGTTTCCAAATCAGATCCGTACTTTGAGATCCCAACATGGGTGCTGTATTCCCACCCAACAAGCTCCAGATCCCGAGACAACCTGGGAGTTCACCTCAGCACATTTCCTAGAGATGTTGACAGCTGGTCGGAGCCATGGGTTATTTACGAAGGGCCCAGTGCTTACTCAGACCTGGCCTACATTGAGCTGCCTTACTCAGAGTTCCCAGCAACTGGGATCCCAGCCATAGCATTTGCTTGTCTGTATGAGAATGGGGTGCAATCCCCATATGAGCAAATATCCTTCAGCATGTTTACATTGCATGAAGTTCTTCAGAACATTCCTCTAACAACTTCTTCCCTAAGTCAGAAGCAGTCCTCAGAGGGTAGAAAGAGAAAGGGGACAAAGTGTGACATCTCTTAAACTGAGGGACAACATATCTTAGACACATTTAAACCTCAATCATCCTACAGTAAACATTGGGAAATGCATTTCAATGTATGTATGTGTACATATTATGTACAGGCTAGAATTGGATTGCACAGGTCAGATAAATTAATGCAAGATGCAGGTAGGTGCAAAGTCACATCTGCTTTGACCTTGCTAGTGGAGACTGAGAGTTTCCAGCTTTCACAGAAATATTCCAGAACATTTTTTAGGATGCTAGCTTGGGTCTGCCACCTGCTGGCTAAAACACCCTACCAAATGGAGGATGGGATAAGATTACGGTATTTACAGTGCAGATTCTGTGTTTCATTTCCTTCCCTCTCTAAGGTGGTTGTTGTTTAATTTTCCAGACATCAAAACATAGACTCATGCTTTCTTTCCAATATACAGAGAAATGCATCTCAATATGCTTTTGTGGCTTTAACCCCTGTAAAAGGAAGGATACATCTTCCAAGGTAACCTGTTAAAATGCCATGCTGGCCAGGATTGAGAAGGATTAGTCTTGCCATATCACTTCCAGGGTTTTTTGGAAATGGTTGGGTCTTAAGGCAGCAGACCACATCAACCATGCTTAAGTCCAGCATCTCTTTTGTATCTCCCCCCCCCCCCCAAAGTATTAGGACACATCTACTTCAATGGAGCATGTGAAGGGTATGAAGAGGCTTGTGACTGCATTATAATAATACAGACTGAGGTAACATTGCAACATCATTGCCCATTCCCTGCCAACAAGAAAACAACATGACACACATAAAAAACAGGCAGAGCTTTGATTGTACCATTGTAGCCATTCCTGTTGACATTTTTAGCACATCCTGTGAACAGCCTCTTTGGGGTACACTGTGCAAATGGTAGATGTGCTGCACAAACAGCCGCCCCAGCGTCTCCGCTGTGGGGACTTGCTGATAAGCCACGAAATGCGCTTGTTTGGAAAACAAGTCTGTCACGACCCAAATAGCTGTTTTCCCTTTGCTCTTGGGCAGGTCCACAATGAAATCCATGGCGATTTCCTGCCACGGACTGGCTGGTGTCGCAATCGGCTGGAGTAGCCCCCGGGGCTTGCTTTTACTCCCTTTTGCCATTGCGCAGGTTGGGCAGCCTCCCATGCATGCCTCCACGTCTTTTCGGAGTGTCAGCCACCAAAACTGCCTCCGGATCAGATGGAGAGTTTTTACAAATCCGTAATGCCCCGTGTTCTTATTATCGTGAGCTCTCTCTATCACGTCCCTCCAGCACCCTTCAGGCACATACAGTTTGTCCTCATGCCACCACAAGCCCTCCTGGCCTGTCAATGAGTCTTGGTTCGCCGTGAGCCAAGCGTCTTGCTCCCCGGCTTCTAGGAAAGTCCATTTGAGCCCCGGTTCTGTGTCCCTTACCCTCTTCTTGCTCTGGGTGACTGCTTTTGTGGCCAGTTGGCTCGCGGGGATGATCGAATCCACAATCTCCTCCCACTGGCTGGCATGCTGGGGCATTCAGGACAGTCCATCCGCCAAGAAATTCCTTTTCCCTAGGATGTGTTTGAGGGTGAAATCAAACCTTCTGAAGTATTGGGACCAGCGTGCCTGTTTGGGCGAAAGCTTCCACGGGCTTTCAGTGCTTCGAGGTTCTTGTGGTCAGTCCACACCTCGAACAGCTGAGCTGCCCCCTCCAACAGATGCCTCCAGGTGGATAGGGCCCACTTGACAGCAAATGCCTCTTTCTCCCACACCATCCACCTCCTCTCCATTTTGGTGAACTTCCAGGAGGCGTAGACGCATTGGTGGAGGGGCCCCTCAGGTCCAGGTTGCAACAGGACTGCTCCCGCTGCCATGTCAGAAGCGTCCACCTGAATCACGAACCACCGGTCTGGGTCAGGGTGGCGTAGGATGGGCTCAGCAGTGAACTTGCGCTTCAGATCCCCGAATGCCTCTTGGCACTCCGGGGTCCACACAAGAGGCATGCTGGGTTTGGGGGGCTTCCCGCTGCCCTGAGTCTTAAGCAGGTCCGTTAACAGGAGGGCGACCTGGGCGAAGTTTGGAATGAACTGCCTGTAGAAGTCGCGAACCCCAAGAAGCTTTGGAGTTGCCTCCGGGTCCGGGACACTTCCCACCCCAGTACATCCTTCACTTTCGCCAGGTCCATCTTGATGCCTCGGCTGGATATTTGATAGCCGAGATAGTCCAATTGCTCTCAATGGAATTCACACTTCAAGAGTTTGGCGTACAGCTGTGATGTTAGTAGCCTCTGGAGCACTGTGTGTACTAATTTCATGTGCTCGGTCAGGGTCTCGGAATATATCAGGATGTCATCCAAGTAGACCAGGACGCCCTGGTAAAGTAGGTGATGCAGCACCTCATTTATTAATTGTATGAACACCCCTGGGGCCCCTTTTAATCTGAACGGCATCACATGGAATTGGAAACTTCCAAGCGGACAATTGAAAGCCATTTTCCATTCATCTCCTGTGTGGATCTGTGTGAAGTATACCTCTTGCAAGTCCAGTTTTGTGAATATCCTCCCCTTGGACAGGTGGGATAACAAGTCCTTCATCAAGGGGAGGGGGTAGTTGTATTCAGCACTTATGGTGTTCAGCCCCCGATAGTCTACGCACATTCGGAGCGAGCCGTCCTTCTTTTCCCGGAACAACACCGGGGCCGCCAGTGGGGACTTCGCGGGCTGGATAAAACCCTGCGCTAAATTCTTGTCCACAAACTCCCAAAGGGCACCCATCTCCTTCCCCGACAGGGAGTGCATCTTCGGCTTGGGTAACTTGGCCCCCGGCTCTAGCTCAATGGTGCAGTCACTGGGTCTGTGGGGCGGGAGTTGATCCGACTCCTCCTCACCGAAAGCTGCTGTCAAGTCCCAGTACTGGTGAGGGATGCTCTCGACGCTCTCTGGCTCCACCGTTTTCCCCGTCGCGGAACCGCCTGCTGAAGCCACCTTGTGGGTCGCTGCTGTCTCAGGACCCCTCGGGTCCGATGTCGCCGCCATCTCGTGGGTCCTTGGGATCGCCACTGCCGCTTCTGTGGCTACTGTCGTGGTTCGCTCACCTCCCTGCTCTGGATGCTCCGGCTCTGTCGACTTCTCCTCCGTGACTACTACTCCCCTCGTCGTCGCCTGTCGTCACTTCCGGTACTCTCGCTCCCGCTCCTCTGTGTCTCCAAAACACAGCGCCTCTGATGCCCAGTCAACGAGGGGGTTCCGTCGTCTCAGCCATGCCAGGCCGAGCACCACCGCGTAGTCGGCTATTGGGAACACCACGAACCACAGCTCTTCTTGATGGTTCCCGATCATCATTCGGACCGACTCAGTGTAGTACTGAGCCGGGGGCCCCACCCCGCAAGTGAGCCGTCAAGCTGACTGAAAGCAATGGGCTCCCTGAGTCTCCGCACCTGGAGACCCAGCCCTGATACTAGCACCGGGTGTATCAGGCAGTGGGTGCACCCAGAGTCTAGTAGTGCCTGCAATCGTGCCTCAGCCCCCGACCTCACTCCAAGGATATGTACCCTTACCCTCATGGGAGGGCAGTCCTCGTCCGCTATCGGATCTGTGCGTCTCCACTCCTCTGACCACACTGGGACGCCATTCAGTGTGGCCGCTGCTCATTTCCTGCCGGCTCTGCCTCTTCCCCCAACGCCGTCGTCTCGGGAGTGGACCAACCGGTCCCAGTGCACTCTGCTGCCGCTGCCCTGACCCCTTTCCGTGGTCGGTCAGGGGCATGCTGTCACAGGGTCTTCAGGGCCCTGGCATCTGCCCGGGGTGGGGTCCCGTCCCGCTCCGTCAGGCATTGCGCCACCCAATGGCCTCGCCCCCCGCACCGGAAACAGAGGCTTGATTTCTTCTGAGCCTCCCGTCCTCCTGCGGGTTGTTGGCTGCTCCGCCTCTCCTCCGCAGCTGCCCTGCCCGGCTCATCTCCACTTGGCCTCTGGTGTCTCGCTCTCCGCTTGATCTGCTGCTACACCGCCTCTGCCATTCCGGCCAGCCAGATCCACTCTTTTAGTGTGGTCGGGTCGTCCTGACCAAGCGCCCTCTCGAGAATCTCCAAGTTGAGTCTGTTTTTGAAATAGTCCACCCTCAGGGATTCCGGCCAATCGGTAAGTTTTTCTGCTACGCGCCGAAACTCTAGGGCGTACTCGGCCACCGACTTTTCCCTCTGCGTCAGGCGTTGGATGTCATCCCTGGCCTGCCTGGCGCTCAGTGTGTCCTCGAATCTATCCCGGAGTGCCTGCATGAACTCTGGGAAATTCTTTAGCTCTGCCACATTGGTATCGTATAGGCGGATGACCCAACTGGCTGCTTGACCCTCCAACAATTCAGCCATGTAGGCGACTCACCCCTCATCATCGGAAAACAGGTGGCCACTCTGCTTCATGAAATTCCGCACCTGCGTAAGGAAGCAGGGTAGTTGTTCGGGGTCCCCCGAGAATTTCCCGGTCAGACCCCGGAGTTTCAGTGCGTCCGCCGCCTGTCAATCTCCTGCTCCGTGGCGCGTCCCCGGAGTCAGCTGGGGCATAGAACCACCGCTGGCCTTGCCCAATTCCTCCTCTGCCTGCGTCTCTGCTGCAGGGGACTCGCTCCCCCGAAGTATGGCCTGCAGCATCGTCTGGATGGCGTCTATCCACTGCTCGAATTTGGCCTCCAGCCGGGTTAGACGTTCCTCCAGCTCCTGGGTTTTGGATCCCGAGCCACAGCTCATCGTGACCCCCCCATCCTGCCAACCCGTCGGGGCCCATGCCTTCGCCAAACAACCATCTGGCATCCTCTGGCACCCTCTCGGCTGCGTCCCTGTGCCCCTCACTCTGGGCTGGTCCCACCATCGCGCCTTCGGGTCTGGGCTCCTCGTTGCACCACTGACTCACGCCTTCTCTGTCGCTGGCCATCTCCTGGTGCCGTCAATCGGGTCCTCTCCGGGTCTGGCTACCAGAAAAATGGTGAGCACTCCTCGGTGTGTACCAGGTAGCGTTCGAAGGTGAATCCTGGCTTTATGTAAGGTTTACCCCGTTCGTCTCAGAGAAACTCTCGTGACATGTGTATTCAGCAAAGAGGTTTACTCAAGCATAACATAAGTAAGTACAGACAAAGCCAGGATTGGCTTGGCACATCTTATAATGTATTTTATAGCTTCCCCATTCCCACGTTTTGCTCTGTTGCTAGGTTACAGATTACCCACAGTAATCCCCCCTCGCCCAAATGGCAGATTCAGTCCGGTGCTTTTGTCTTGCTGATTGCAATCTATGGGTTGTGCTGTTGTTGCCTTTGTTGGGTTTGCCGGGCTTGCTCGCTGATTGCTTTGCTTCCGAGCCTCTGCACTTTCCTTTGTTTGCAGTGCCCTTGCTTGCGGTTTTGAGTTAAGCACCGCCACCTGTCTGTAATCAGCTCGCGGGGT